TTTTTTGTGCCGTGCTCCTTCGCTCTTCGGGCCTATTCTGCCATGCTCCTGGCTATTTTCTGTCACAATCCTTTGTTATTGGGGCTTATGATGCTTTGCTCCTGGTCGTTTTCTGCCGTGCTCCTCAGCTCTTGGGGCATATTCTGCCGTGCTCCTTCGATTTCGGGGTGTGTTCTGCCGTGCTCCTTGTCTTTCTCTTGCATACTCCTTCCTTGGGGCGTATTATGCCGCATTCTTGCATACATCTTGCCGTGCTCCTTAGCTCTTGCGGTCTATTCTGCCATGCTCCTGGTCACTGGTCGCGTTTTGCAATGTTCCTTCTTTCCTGGTGCCTATTCTGCCGTGCTCCTCAGCTCTTGGGGTCTATTATGTCGTGCTCCTGTTTTTTTTTCTATCATGCTCCTTCGCTCCTGGGGCCTAATTTGCCGTGATCCTTCGGTCTTGGGGTCTATTCTGCCGTGCGCTTTGTCTTGTTTTGCTGTGGTCCTTTGCGATTGAGGTTCGTATTCCTAGTTCGTTTTGCCGTGCTCTTTAGCTCTTGGAATTGATTTTGCCGAACATAGAGGGGCACGACAGAACACGCAAGAACACGGCAAAACAGACTTTTTTTGAGCTCAACGCCCGCACAGCCTCTCACTGTCAGCAGCGACGGCTGGGAAATCGCTGCTGCATCCACCATGCCACTGAGGCAAGGAGGTAAAGCCACGAAGGTGGCAGGATAATATTATTCAGAAGAACCCGACTCAGCATCCAGGTCCCTCCTTCCCTCACTGCCGCTCCGAGCGGCTTCAAGAAGGCGGAGGGACTTAGAAGCGACGCTGAGCTCTCGGGCCTGACGGGCCTGACGGACCTCCTCCTCCGAGGGGGGGGAGGCTCGACCGAGGAAGCAGGGACCGCCTCCTCCTCCACCGAATGGTTCCCAGCTGGGGCCACCACGGCCCTGCTGCACGAGGAAGGCTCCTCGGCCTGAGAACCAAACAGAGCGCAGATCTGGTGAGTGTTCACCGTCACATCCCGCTTCCTGGGGTTCGGATGTATTCCACGGCAGAGGTCCCTCCAAGAATACTCAGCATGCCTAGAGGGCCGATCGTTACAAAACTTCCCGAGGCCGTCCACACGTGCACCTGTGCTGTGGTAGCGGCATTTCACGCAAACAAAAAGGCGCGAACCGTCACTGCAGGAGAAAGCCAAAACACGATGTCGCAGTGAAACAAGCACACCTTCATCAAGCTTGCACCTGCCCGTGCATATACCAGGATCAGGGACACCAGACGCCCTGGAACCCAACAAACAAACACGACAACGCCACACACCAGACCAGGGGGCCCAGTCGTGTCCAGGCTTGCCCCAGGAAAACCTGGGCTTGGGGGCAGGCGGAATGTATTCGGCATCAGATAAGTCTAGACGGGGCCACTCTAAAAGAAGCTTGGCCCCCAGTCGACACACTGATTTGGCGATGTCAATCCTCTTGCTGAGATCTTCACTGCCATTAACATCAGTCGCATGAAACGAAAGCGCAGCTTTGGCCGCCGCGTCTGCATCGTTATTGCATTTGCGACAAAACCGTTCAAACTGGTCGATGCCAGCTTCATCTAAATCTTTGTGAGCAGCGACCTTGACAATATCCTTAATGCACGTGCCTTCTCGAGCATTGGCTTCCATGATTATGCCACTGTACACCCTCTTACCCGAGAGGCGCTCGACAGGAGGCAACTTAGAATGCTTAACCACATTCAAGCAATCTGAGAACAGGGTGGAAGGGCACTTGGCCATATTACCAGCCACGCCACGAGCTAAATATTCTCCAGCCTGCGGGGTCTGAGGGCATTGAGCCCACACAGGCCCCATAACCTCCCCTAAAAGGTCCCCACTGTCGTTGTGCATCGTGATGGCCCACGACGCACGGCTAAGTTCACGAATTATGTGCCGCCTGCAAGACCCGTCGAGAAACAGCGAACCCCAGACAGCACCTTCCTGGGGAGCCTCGAAACCTTCGGGGCCCTCGAGCAGATCACGATGCCAGCGGAACACCACATTACCTTCGAGGCAGGGCCTCGGAAGGGCATCGGCGGGATGGGCGAAAGCCCCGAAGCAGAAAAGGAGGTCCGAGTAGCCCTCAGCCTCAGTGTCTAGGGCCGCAGCAATGATCCAGTCCTTAGCAAGCTCCGCTCTCTGATCGCACACATGTGGGCATACCCACAGACGGTGGTGCAGCGAATCTGCCGCACCGCAATGAACGCACTTAGAACAAACTTGATATCCACAGGCAATGGCACGATCAGGAGTCCAGATGGCGTTACACGCCAGAGCTCGCACCATGCCTTTTTCACTGGCAGAAAGCTTGCTAGACGCAAGAGCGGCTCGGGGGACATCCAAGCAGAGGCGGCCTCCAGACGACCATTTACAACCCAAATCCCTTTCCAGAGCTCTGATCATACCTTCCCGACAAAAAAAAAAAACACAAAAGAGCAGGGGAGGTCACTCCGAGGGGGATGTGGTACCCTCTGTCATCAATAATGGTCATGAAGTTGTCCATATGCCACCCTAACCTGACCAGGCTAAGCCTAAGGGCAGAAACAGGACCCCCAACAAGACCCCAACTGATCCTGCTAAGGCCCCAGACGGCATTCCAAGAATCTCTAAGCTCCTTGAGGGCCAGGGAGTGCGGGAAGACCTTAGTCTGAGCAAGCCATATTTCTTTTCCCCACCTAAGCGCAGGCGCGCAAGCCGCCCTCCAGGTGGGATCTCCAGCTAAAATACAGCAGGCAGTGAGACACCTGCCCTGAGAAAACGGCCGCACAGTCGAGAAGGCTTGTCTCCGCATCAATAACAGGTCGTGGTCGGAAACACCCACAACGTCGGCCCCGTAGGAGCCGCCCGCAAGAGGGCCCGAGGAAAACACCCGAAGAGTTTTTCTCCCAAGGTCACCTGAAAGCCTCTTGAGCCTCTTAGCTCGACGGCACATAGTAGCCAGCCTCGACTTGAGCTTGCTAGCCCGACCAGAGGCACGAATGGACTTGCCCGCCGTGTAGTCCACACCTAAAATGACAGTAACATCCTCGATCCTGCCTGCCAGACTGCCAAGCTGCTTGCCAACCTCTCTGGCCACCGCCCTATTAGAGGAGACCGTGCGCACTTTGGACAGGGCGATACTGCAGCCAAGCATGTCGGTCACAGCCGTGTGCAAGGCCTGCGAGCTGGAGACAATAGAGGCAATAACACGGTGACGAGGGCCCGTCGCAGAAATCCCCGAATCGTCGATGTAAATGTCCAGGTCACATCTGGGGGGCAAGGGAATCGAGTCGAACGCGTCGAGGGCAAAGACCCTGATGAGGGTGGTGGCGAAGCTGCAGCCCGCCACCACCCCTCGTTCAACAAAAAAGGGGCCCGTGAGGATGCCACCCAGGGAAAGGAAACGGCCACACCGAAAGGCAAAGATGCAAAGGCGAGCAATCGGGGAGGGAAAACCGTGTCTCTGACATTGGGACATCAACTTGACAATGTCAATGGTCTCGTAATACTTAAGCATATCATAGAACACACTGCACGAAACCTCTTTCGACGCTGTGCCATGCTCAGCCCGAACAGACTGCCTCCAAACGACGTCAGCAGCACCTCGATGCCCACCAGCAGCCCAGTACCTACGGGGGTGTTCTTGCTCCCAGGCGAGGGCGAAGGGGCGCCGCAGCTTCCCCCACACCCTGTGCCAGGAGCAGAACACCCCTATAGGCCTGTAGCCGCCAGTGGGCTTCGAGAGAAGCGCGAGCAGCACGGCAGAAACCTGCTCGGGCAATTCACCGAGCGCTTCCATAACTTCAAACAAGACGGCGAGCGAGTTCAACGCATCATCACACAAGTACTGAAAGTGACGACAACTGAAGCCATCATAGGCAACCGCTGAACCCCTCTTGTATTTCTTGGAGACTTCCCTGATTTCGTCGGCCGAAACTCTCGGCAGAGTAGGACCAAGAGACGGGGGGCCCCTAGAGGCTCCAGATCCCTGGCCCCAAAAGGCGGCAAACTTGAAACCTTCCGAAGCCAAAAGCGCCAGGGGATCAGACACGATGGTGCCATCAGCTGAAAGGGTGGTGGTGGCCTTCCAAGGGGACGGGTCCCTGGTAAACATGTGAACTCTTTTCGCTCCCTCATCCAGGCCAGCGCGAATCCAAGCTTGCCAACTTTGACGGGATCTCTTCTTGGCAGCAGACTGAGCATTGCTGACCGCAACGTCAATTTTGTCCCGAAGAGCCACGTCGTAACACCTCCCCCAAAGAGATCCCGACAAGGCTTGGCGACAGCACGGGCAACCTCATCAAAGAGAGGCCGAAGAGCAGCAGAAACCTCAAAATGGTGCGGAGGCTCCTGTAGCAGCGTCGTCAGCGACTCCGCCTGAGGAGCATCGCCTTGGTTCGAATCCGGATCCGAGGGGCCGCTGAAAAACTCAACAGGACTGCTCGGCTGCAGGTCAACGAGCACTGGATATTCATCACACGGGTTGGCAAGCCCGAAAAAATGCGCCTCGCAAGAGGCAGCACTGTGAACAGCACGTGCAAAGCTGGCGATGCCAGAGGCAAAAACTCGCTTGGCCCTCCAAAGGGTGTGCTTGACGGCACCACTGAGCGACGAGTGCGATCTCTTAAAGGCAGACGGTCGCTTCACATGGGGAGGGGTCCAGCGGGAACGCCGAAAGGCAAAAGAGCTGAGACTGCACACTGAGGCCGAGCAAGATGGTGCCCTGGTGGCGCCAAGCTCACCAGTCCCGAAAACGGGTGCCCCCAGAGGCTGGGGGAGCGTCCTAGCCAAAGATTCCAAGCTGCTTCGAGCAAAATGTGGGCACTGCTCGAGGGATCCTCCAGTTTTAACGAACGTTCCCCGGAGGTTCCCACGGCAAGACGGCATGTCCAGACAACCCCAGAAAAAATCCAGGGATCCAGGATGCAGCTCAGGAGGAACGGAGGCCTCGAGGTCCACGGCTCCGAAAGAAAAAGACTGCCCTACTCCGTCAGCAGCAGGCTGAAGGTACCCACGAGGGCGAGCGTCGACTGCAGCTTCAGCGGGTGCGGGCTCTGCTTGCCAGCCTGGGCAACTCTCGTCTCCGCCCCAAGGTGCAAGGCCGAGGCCCAGAGCATTAAAGTCCCCTGCCGAGGGGAACGGAGAGAACATGTGCCAGGCTGGGCAAGTGAGCGCGCCGCTGGGTTGAACGTGTTCACGATGAAGGCCCCCCTGCTGAAGCTCACGCGGCAGCAGGGGGAGGGTCTTGTTCAGGCTGCCCATGCTGAATGATATTGGCGGCCCGCTGGCGTAGAGCAGCAGAAGCGGTAGCTTCAGCATCCACCTCCGTAGGCTGCGCTGCTGCTGCCGCAGGACCAGTGGCAGAATCGGCTGCGGCTGCCTCAGCACCACCACCTCCGTCATCGCCAGGAGCTGCACCTTCGTCAGTCTTCCTCTTCTTGGCCAGGCGTCCAAGATGCTCTATGTGTGCCTCCTGGATCTTCTTGGCAGTCTCGGAGGCCTGCGCGAAAAGACGCTGTGCCAACTTTTGGATGCCCTCTCGCAGCTGGTTGCCCCTCTTCTCGAGCTCCTCCTTGTCGGCCTCCGAGAGCTCGAAATCCTCGACGCCGCCGAGCAGCTCCGAGGGGTCGATGACCAGCTTGTCGGTGAAGGACCCGTCCATGATCGAAGACAGCGAACATGGCACGGCTTTGTCAACTGGCTCCTTCTGCAAGTCAGCCGCTGACGTCTGAGCATGTAGGGCGGCCACAAGTCGACGATGCTCAGCGTCGGCCTGCTCGCACTCCTCAGTGAACTTGGTGACCAATGCACGCTGCTCCACCATCTGCGCCGACCACTCCTCGTACCTCTGAACAGCGCCCTGCAACTTCCGCTCGAGGCCGCGCAGCTTGCTGTGGGCCATGGAGACCTGGTGCTGCAGGGTGGGCTCCTTGACCGCAGGTGGAGGCTTGGCCAGCTCACGATGCTTGGCCGCTCCCAGCGCGTCGCCAGACTTGGCCAGCAACTCCGCCAAGGACGCATGCTCTTCCCGAGAGAGAAGGGACTCCGGCTTGACTGGACCGCCTGGTGACTTGCCACCTTTGCCTCCACCATTGTCGCCGAGCGCGAAGGTGCCTGGAGGCCCTTGAGCAGCAGCAAAAGGGGAGAACGGCAGGCTGCCACTGAAGCCAGCTGACCAGACTCCACCAGGCGTGCCGAAGGAGGAGGGCGTGTATGGCTGGAACGGGGTCCACTGAGAGCCGCAACGCTTGCAGCGAGACCAGCGCATCTCGTTCTTCCTGCAGCCGCAAGCCGAGCATGTCCAGAGGGCTGGAGGAGCATCTTGTTGCAGCCCAGGAACGCGTGCAGCCCAAGGAGGAGGAGGAGAGCCGCCACCGTCGAACAGCGCGATCTCCCGCTCGAGGGCGGCCGCCGAAGGGAAGCTCTTGCCACCCTTGCCGCCCTTGTCTCCCTGACCTCCAGGGCCACGCTTGCCATAGCCGCCCTTCCCCATGGCGGCGAAATGATTATGAACGTGTGAGGGAACGGCCCTCTCCGAAGCTGAATGACTCGCAGGCACGAAGTGCCGTTTTGAATCCTGCACCTGCAACGCTCAATGGCTTGAGCGCAAAACGGCTCTTGAGCCAAAATGGCTACGGACTCACGGCAAAACAGACAGAACACACGGGAACACGGCAAAACACACAGGAGCACGGCAGCACACGCAGGAGCATGGCAGAACAAGTAGGAGCATGGCAGGACACACAAGAGCGCGGCAGAATGCACAGGAGCACGACAGAACACACAGGAACACGGCAGACTACGCAGGAGCACGGCAGAACACACAGGAACATTCCGTAGCCATTTTGGCTCAAGCCATTTCCCGTGGCCCGTCCTTCGGTCTCCCGTGCTGGGCACGCATGGCCGTGAGGGCGCCGCCGGAGGGTGCGGGCTTGGGAGCGATGGCGGCGGGGAGACGGCCGTAGCGGCCGTCTGAGGCGTGGTGGAGGCCTCAGCGCGAGCGGCGGGCCGCACAGCGCTGGGCAGCCCTATCCCGCGAGCGCCCGGTGGAGCGCCAGGCGTCCGAGCTCGTGGAGCTGCGGAGCCTGGCATCGGCCCCCCCCAGCGTCCTGCGCCGCCTGGCGCTTGTGGCGCCCGTGCTGATCGCCCAGGAACACGGCGGGCCGCTGGAGGAGGAGCGCATCCTCGAGCGCAATGTGGGGTGCCACGCGCGGGCCCTCCCGCGGCCTGGCGCTCCGCGGGCCGCCTGGAGGAGGGGGCAGCGCGGGCCGCGCCTCCCTTGCCCGAGGTCGGCCGTTGCGGCGAGCTCAGCGGAGGTGGTGCCGCGGGCTGTGGGCGCAGGTGCCATTCACGTCGCTGATCTTGAAGCGGAGCTCCTGGTGGAGGCTGACGCCCAGGCGAGCGGCGGTGCGTTCCCTCCCCCGCCAGGCGTTTGGCTGGTCGCAGACCCACTGGCTGGGGCGAGGGCCTTCCGGGAGGGCTTCGACGCGGGCTGGCGCCTTGCTGGGACGGCCTCCAGCGCTCCGCGGGGCGGCGACGGCGTGGTGCTGCAGGGGCAGTGCGTGCCCTCCTCGTCCTTCCGTGGCGTGTGGGAGGTCTGCTGCGACAATGCGTGCGGAGGCGGGCAGCCTGCTCCTGCCGCCAGGGCAGGGGGGTTTGGAAGGCAGGCGCGGCGATGGAGGAGGACGGCAGGGCCGCCCTCCATGCGCCGTGTCGGGTGTTCGATGGTGTGCAAGGCGGTACCGCAGGCGAGAGAGCGCCGCGGCCCCCGCTGCTTCTGGAGAGCCTGGCGGGCCCAGGCAACGACGACGGCTTCGATGGCGGCTTTGTGGACGACCCCGTCGACGGCGACGCGGACGGGGACACGGCCTGCCCTGGACCCCCCGCCCGTTCGGAGCCCGACCGCCGCGTCCTGGGGTATCTGGACCGCTTCGGCGCGGCGGTGCTGAGCGGCAGCACGGCCGTGGAGATGGAGAGGGGCACCGCTGGTTCCGAGCGGGCCGCCGCTGCGGCGAGTGCCGAGAATTACCTCCCTTTCCTCGATGAGTTCGGCTTGGCCGCGGTGGCTGCTGCGGCCCGCGGGCCGCTTTCGGGAGTGGAATCGCTCCTGGACCTTGCCGAAGGCCGCACCGAGGATTGGCTTCTGCAGCGTGAGCTTACACTCGGAGACAGGGCAGTGGTCGAAGCCCGCGCTGAGAGCTTACTGTTGCAGAAGGGATTTCGCTGGGATTTTTTATCACGGTGATTGCTTTGAGGTGGATGGTCAGTGATCGTTTCTGGCTTGTGCTGTCCTCCCACCTTGATGCTGGGAGTCGTGAGTGAAGCCTCCTGTACTTGAATGTACACGCTGTGTATTTGCAATGCAGTCGAATCCACTCTGGCGCAGGTAGTGTAGTATCGTTCTGTTCTGCGCTGCTGGAGGGGGGTCGGCTTGTCCTGCGTTCGGCAGCCGTCCCCTGGTGGCCGCGGTGGAGGCCCAGGGCGGCCCCCGCGGGGAGAGGCGGCCCTAGGCGGCCCCTCTCGGGAGGGCGTGTATTTTCTCTCGCCTTTCAGGCCCCGTCTTTAACTTTAACTTTAACGCACAAGAACATTGCATATGTCGTTTCACATGCTTGGTGGACGAAGCGACTCTTCTCAAGGAATGGGTTGGAATAAAGCCCTGAAGATCGTCCTAGATGGTCTATTATGCCGTGCTCCTGTTTTTTTCTATCCTGCTCCTTCGCTCCTGGGGCCTATTCTGCCGTGCTCCTTCACTCTTGGGGCTATTATGCCGTGCTCTTTGTCCTCTTCTGCCATGGTCCTTTGCTCTTGGGTTCCGTATTCCTGGTCCTTCTCTGCAGTGCTCTTTAGTCCTTGGGGTTGATTCTGCCGAACATAGAGGGGCACGGCAGAACACGCAGGAACACGGCAAAACAGGCAGAGCACACAGGAACACGGCAGAACACACATGAGCACGACAGCACACGCAGGAGCGCTGGGGACATCCTCAACAAATGAGATGTTCGCAACATCGCCTCGACATCGTTTTCGAAGTGCTTCAAGACGAAGGGATGAGAGCCCCCAAAGGAGCCCAAGATGGCTCCAACAGCGCCCTGGAGTCTGCCGAAAATTACGAATTATCTAATCGTTCTGCCATGCTCCTGGTCTTCTTCTGGTTTGCTCCTTCGCTCTTGGGGCCTATTCTGCCGTGCTTCTTAGCTCTTGGGGTCTATTCTACCGTGTTCCTGGTCTCTTTCTGCCGTGCTCCTTCGCTCTTGGGGCTTATTCTGGTCATTTTCTGCCGTGCTCCTTGGCTTTTGGGGTGTATTCTGCTGTGCTCCTGGCCTTTCTCTGCCGTGCTCCTTTGCACTTGGGGCATATTCATCCCTGCTCTTTAGCTCCTGGGGTCTATCCTGCCGTGCTCCTTGTCTTTTTCTTCCGTGCTCCTTAGCTCTTGGGGCCTATTCTGCCGTGATCCTGGTCTTTTTCTGCCTGCTCCTTTGCTTTTGGGGTCTATTCTGCCGTACTCTTTTGCTCTTGGGGTCTATTCTGCCGTGTTCCTGGTCTTTTTTCTGCCGTGCTCCTTCGCTTTTGGGGTCTATTCTGCCGTACTCCTTTGCTCTTGGGATCAATTCTGCTGTGTTCCTGGTCTTTCTCTGCCGTGATCCTTCGCTCTTCGAGCCTATTCTGCCGTGCTTCTGGTCTTTTTCTGCCGTGCGCGCCCAGAAGCTCCGCCAAAACGACCACCGCGACGATCCGCACGGCAGAATACAGGAGCACGGCAGAACACACAGAGCACACAGAGGCACGGCAGAACAAAAGCACGGCAGAACAGGAACACGGCAGAACACACAGGAACACAGCAAAGCACACCCCGCACGCACGCCGACACGCGCGCCACGGCATACCTTCGCGGCGCAACAACAACAGAGCATATTCCACATGCTTGGTGGACTAAAGCGACGCTTCCCGTTCTTGTACGGTCAGGTTATACTCGCGCCCCCGGGACCATAATCCTTCGTAAATCATACCATGTTCGCGTCCCCGAGGCCACACGTCAATGTAAATTACATGGTTGTTGCGTCCCCGAGACAGCAAGCCCTCGTAAATTACGCGATGCTCGCGTCAGCGAAGCCATAAACCTTTGCAACGCACGCCGTATTCGCATTGCTGTAGGCGCCCGAAGATTGTTCCAAGACGGCCCAAGAGGGCCCAAAGAGGCTCCAAGAGCGCTCCAAGAGGCCTCCCGAGAAAGCCCCAAGAGGCCAACACTGTAGATTTGTTTACGAAGGTGTCTGAATGAGTTCGGCCTTCTCGCATGTTCAGCTTCCCGACGCTCCAAAACGGCTCAAGAACCTGCCCAGACCGCTCCAAAACAACACAAGACGCCTCCAGGAGGGCCCCAAGACGGCCCAAGAGGGCTCCAAGATGGCCAAAAATCGCTTCAAACGGCCCCAGAAGGCCCCAAAATGGCCCCCAGAGGGGCCCAAGCAGGGAACCGTGAACCCAACATACGATATTTGTGCCCCGAGCCCCCAGGAGGCCCCAAAAGGCCGTCAAGAGGCCCCATGCGGCCCGAACAGGCGCCGAAGACGCGCGCAAGAGGCCTCCAACAGGCGCCGAAGACACACCACGAGACCCCAAAGGGGGCCCCAAATAACGCCAAAACCGCCTCACAGAGACAATCAAGAGACTCCCCACGGCACCCCAACACACACACACACACTCACACTCACAGTCACACTCACACACTCACACACTCACACACTCACACACTCACACACTCACACACTCACACACTCACACACTCACACACTTACACACACTAAAACACACTCACACACACTCTCACACACACACACACGCACGCACGCACGCGTGCACGCGCGCACGCGCGCACGCGCGCACGCACGCACACACGCACACACGCACACACGCACACACGCACACACGCACACACGCACACACGCACACACGCACACACGCACACACGCACACACGCACACACACACACGCACCACACGCACGCACGCACACGCACGCACGCACGCACGCACGCACGCACGCACGCACGCACGCACGCACGCACGCACGCACGCACGCACGCACACGCACGCACGCACACACACACACACACACACACACACACACACACACACACACACACACACACACACACACACATACACACACACACACACACACGCACACACACACACACAGACACACGCGGGCACATACACACACACACACACACACTTGCACGCACGCACGTACGCACGCACGCACGCACACACACACACACGCACACACACAGACACACAGACACACAGACACAAACACAGACACAGACACAGGCACAGGCACAAACGCACGCACTCACGCACGCACGCACGCTTGCACGCACGCGTACACACACACACACACGCACACACACATACACACATACATCTATATAATCATACTGGTAGTGAGGGGGCAGGGGGCAGGAGGCGAAATTCTTACTCCTGACTA